ATGGCGTGAAAATATATAGCCTAAAGCGTGACGTAAGTATAGGGCTTTTTATTAAAAAAATAATTATTCAAAAATATGCTGTTATTGCTGACATCTTAGGCAACAAGGAAGTGTGTGTTTACGCTTTATTATAATAGTATAGATACGTTTACAGCGGCAAGTAAAATCATGTTTTTACATCTAGTGCGGCGGCGGGCCTAAATGCGCCCCCCAATGATTTCCGCCAGTGTGTCGCAGGTCTTTTTAGACCCACCAACAATAGGATAAATTAAATTGCTATAACGTTATGGAAACATAATGTTTACATTTTATGTAATGTAATGTATACACCTGAGATAATCTTTTCGCACTAGCGAGAGGGACATAGTTTTCTTCGTCCGCACCAGCTTGTACCGCGTTAGGCAGATATCGGTCTACGCTGTGAGCGTGTTAATAGAAACATTATAACTAACTAGCTTTCGCCCGCGACTCCGTCCGCGTGGTATTAATAAAAACAAAAGAAAGTAGCCTATGTGTTCTTCCAGACTATTGCCTATGCCAAATTTCATCTAGATCCGTTTAGACTACAAACTCTAACAAACATCCATCCAAACTTTCGCATTTATAATATTAGTAAGATATCTACTTCTGTACAATGTTATTACAGACTATCCATTGGTATATTTACATAGTTATAGGACATACACGAACCATTATTTATAAAAAAGATTACCACTTACGCATCATAAATAAAACAAAAAGACATCGACACGCTATACCAACATTACGCTGTCATAAGTTTTAGGTTATGTTACCGCGAAGAACGAAAGTTTCGTACATATCGTGACATCCCCTTTATTACCACTAGTGATAACTACTAGCTTCGCCTGGGTAGCGTACATACGTCTCTTGTATTTTTAGATGTAATAAAATAACCTATCTCACTCAATGTTGCTTTCTAATGACAAATTGATTTACAAAATCTGACTATTTTCGGAGCCTTTTCAACACAAACAATCAAATCTTTCCTTTTTCTTCTTTATGTTATTTAGGAAGCGATTTGATTTTGAATCCCTTTTTTTACATCTTACTAATCTTACTAATATTATAAACGTGACAGTTTAGATGGATGGATGTTTTTAGAGTTTCTAGCCTAAACAGCTGAACGGATTTCTATGATATTTGGTATAGAAGTAGAGGATATTCTGGAAGACATAGTCACATAGGCTGCTTGCTGTTGTCTTTTAAAATTACACGAGAACGGAGTCTTGGGCAAATGGAAAAAATTAATGTGCTTAAAATAAATTTCGAATTTTATAAATCGAGCAAAACATTTCAAGTTACTTCAACATTTAACTTAATATGCCTTTAATTGTATAGAGGTAAAGTCAAAGTAACCTATCCATGTGAGTCCGCCAGGGACCGGGATAGCGTAGCCCTGACCTCAATACAGCCTTCCCGGTATCAACCGCACACCGCAACAGAACCTAACTTATTGTTATTGCTACACTGCGGTAAACTTAACTAGATTATTGTCTTATAAAATGTTATACTATCTGATTTATTTAGTACGAACTGTTGCTGACAATATAGCCTATGTTACAGCGATAACGTAGCTTTCTAATGGCGAAAGAATTAGAAATTAGCCCAGTAGTTTTTGAGTTTTTTCAATAAATACAAAAATACAAATATTTCCTCTTTAGTACGTGCTTTCGCCATGTACTGTAACGTTTCACTTATTTATTTCAGGGAGGAATGAGGTCTTTTTGTCTATTACCGTTTTTATATATTTTATTTATTATTGAATACTAGCTTGCGCCCGCGACTCCGTCCTCGTGGAATTTAAGAAAAAAGGACTAAGTGTTCTTCTAGACTATCCTCTACATCTATACCAAATTTCATTGAAATCCATAAATCCGTTTAGGCAACAAACTCTAACAAACATCCAACCTTTCGCATTTGTAATATTAGTATGAAGTATGATTTTAGTTTTAGGCAATAAAAAATTAGATAGATATTGCAAGGAATTTTAATTTTATTATGCATCGATTGCGGTTTGACAAAGTGCTATCAAATCTGGTTAACTGACGCCGCAGACTAATCTAATAATACGTTCAATTAAGCAATTAATTTGGCTCCAATGATCTCGCTTGACAAGCTCGCACAAGCTTTCGTTTATAACTAAATCATAGACTTATTTATTAATCCCTTATATAATTCCCATTGGTATTATAATTTTTAAATTAATCTTACTTAGTATTATAAATGCGAAAGTTTAGATGGATGGATGGATGGATGTTTGTTAGCGTTTGTAGCCTAAACGGCTGAACGGATCTCCATGAAATTTGGCACAGGTTTAGAGCATAGTCTGGAAGAACACATAGGCTACTTTTTAACCCGGGAATAGTTACGGTTCCCGTGGGAATTATTAATTTAGTTTTTTAATGTTTACTCGATAATTCTGCAACGGTTCAACATATCTTATTGAAATTTGACACAGATATAAAACAAAGTCTGGAGTTCACATGGAATAAGCTTCATTCCCGAGAAATGTCCGGTTCCCGAGGGATACGTAGCTTTTTTTTAATTTACATAGTTTGTATGTTTTCTAATACCACGCTGACGAAGTCGCGGGTAACAGTTCGTTAGAAATAAATCTTCAATTTTAACTCCGAAAAACCTTTACCTAGTTCTAACATTATAAAGAGGAAGACTTTGATTATAATGAAATAACTCAAAAACTACTGAACCGATTTCAAAAATTCTTGCACCATAAAAAGCTACGTTGTCAGTGAGTAACATAGGCTATGTTTTAGATTATTTTTCAATTTCGGACAGACTCGCGAGCAAAGCTAGTAATCGTATTAAAGTTATAAGTATGTTTATATGAAAAATAAATGTCGAACTTTCGGGAACCGTACATTTTTTTCGTAACCAAACATAGACCTATTCCAAATTGTATATGTTTCGAGCATTTTCATTATTCGTAAAAATATTTTCGTTCATCAACAACTAAAATTTTATTAATTTGTGCGCGGATACCGGCCGTAAATTACTCTAACAAACGTTCTACTTTATCGAAGACGTTCCAAAAATAACACAACGTCATGCAAATATTCGTAATAGACCCTCTGGTAATAAATATACCAAGCGTTCTAATAGAGACAAAAGGCTATCCATGTTAACAGAATGTCTGTTCATTCAATACGCGAACAAAGAAATCTCATTATCCGCCTGCGCCGGGACCATTCAGCCTGCCAATGCCTATGACGGCTCAGCATGTCCATACTAAATATTAAAATATAAGCTTTTATATTTTTATTCCTGCAGCTTGCTTTCATAAATATGACATTCTATCATACTAACATAATAAATGCAAAAATTTAGATGGATGTTTGTAGCCTAAACAGCTGAAGGAATCTCGATGAAATTTAGCACAGATGTAGAGGGTAATCTGGAAGAACACACAGGCTACTCACTTTTGTTTTCTTTTCAATTCTCGTGGACGTAGTCGCGGACGAAAGCTGGATGGATGTTTGTTAAAGTTTGTAGCCTAAACGGCTGAACGGATTTCGATGAAATTTGGTATAGATGTAGAGAATAGTCTGGAAGAACACGTAGGCTACCCACTTTTTTTTATTACACGCGGACGGAGTCGCGGGAAAAAACTAGTAGCATATATATTTTAGCAAAAGTAATAAACTGTTTAAATGTATAAAACATTCGAGTTGCCGCTGGAATATACATGTGACCTTTGGCTTAAGAAATTCCCCTCATAATTTCCTATGTATTCTCATCTCTGTCGTTTCCTCCGCACGGATGCGACGCGGAAATTCTTTGTCATTTTAAACGACATTCTCGAAAGCGGAAAGCGAATAACATCCGGATACCTGAGCATTATTAAAGTTGAACAACAAAAATACTAGACAATGTGTGGAGTATTAACATTTTAAAGATTTTTTGTTTCAACAATCTCGCGTTCTGGAAGACAAATAACTGGTGTGTCTTCGTACAGTTAGATAAGGACAAGGAGTTACTAAAATTTTGAAACACATTAAGCTAAATTATAACTGACTAGCTGTTGCTCGCTACTTCGTCAGCGTTAAATTAAAAAAAAAAGTAAAAAAGGATAGCTTATGTTATTTACTGATAACGTATGGTGAAAACTTTTATGAAATCGGCCCAGTAGTTTTTGAGTTATATCAATACATACAAAAATACAAATCTTTCCTATTTAGAATATCAGTATAGATTTAGCGTATTATCGAATAGCATAACAGTTATCTCTAGAAGCTATTCTATTCTGAGGTTATTTGTGTACAGCTTCAACAAGCTGCTGCTGCAGAAGGAGGAGCTGGAACAGAAGCAGTTACACTTGCTGCAGGTGGTGGAAAGCGAGCGGACATCTCGCTGGCAGTACGCACAGCAATGTGACGAGCTCACCAACGAAGTCAAGAAGCTACGCACTGAGGTACACCCTCCTTTACTAACTCAACAAACTCAAACCAGCTGATCTCAAATCAGCGGTACTTCTACAGCAACGACTTAGACTCCGCCGAGACCAGACTCCTATCTAAAAGCCGGTAACAGATTTTCAGGTCCTCGTGTTCCATGAACGTGGATCTCCAACACTTATCATATAAAAAGGATGCCATAAAAGTCAGTTATGTCTTGGTGTGTAGTTGTGTGCGTACAAGAAGGAACATGAGCCGGCGACGCGCACTACGTCTACCGCCAGCCTCTCGCCCAGCGACTCTGACGAGATCGACCCCGTCGAGCTGCGCAAAATTAAGAAAGTCCAGGTAAATTTACTTGTAATGTCATTTTATAAACGTAAGACAACAAAATTTAAAAAAAGTTAAATTAAAAGCCGTTTTAAAACTTACCTGAAGAAATTCCTCTTGGTGTATAAATGAATCAAATTTTCTCGTAGAGTTTCTTCCGGGGCTGGTTGTGTCGGCGTCGTTGGAAGCAAATCGTAGACCAGTACATCAAGAGCCCGCACGCTGAAAGCATGAGGAAGAGGAACAGGTACATTTTTATCCTCGAAGTCGTACGGGAAAGTTTACTTCTGTTAGAAATCATCCAATCAAGTTGATAGGATATGGGCTACAGGTGTAAACATGATTTTTATAACAAAATATAAGAGTAATTTAAAGAAGCTGTGATATATTTCAGCCTGGTATTCAAGATGGTGGAAGCTGAAGAAGAATATCTCGAGCAGATGGAAATTTTAGTAAGTTTTCTTTTCAATAAATCTCACTTGTGACAGTTTTCTTGTGGTCCTTATGCCTTTCTTAATGGAAACTAGCAAATAGGAAGCTTTATTATTATTTTAAAGGTGACATGCTTCCTCCGGCCCTTCAAGATGGCGGCCAGCTCTAAGAAGCCTCCGTGCACGCATGAGGATGTCAACTCGATATTCCTGAACAGCGAAACAGTTCTGTTCCTTCATCAGATCTTCTTTAAGGGACTTACATCCAGAATGGAATCCTGGCCTACTTTAGTGCTAGGTGAGGCTCTTATCTATGAACAATATAAGAATTTAAGTTAGTGGTATATAGTTTTATTTGAGGTTTTCAATAGCTCAAACTGCATACGATATTTTTGTTTAAAATACAAGCAGATTCTTTAAACCAGACAAACATTTCTGGTTCATTTTGAACTCTAGGTTTGTCCTATACTCACGATAATAGTCGAATGTTGATATATCCTTAACCGTAAAGCTTGGTGTTTCATATTGACAGGTTACCATTGGTAATGACATATGCTTAGTAGTGAGTTGGTTACAGGAGATCTATTTGACATGCTGCTGCCGATGCTGACCATCTACCAGGAGTACGTCCGCAACCACCACTACTCGCTGCAGGTGCTCACAGAGTGCAAGCAAAGCCAGCCCTTCGCACACCTGCTGGCGCGTCTCGAGAGCAAACCTGCCTGCCAGAGTCGATCCCTTGAAACCTTCCTCACCTACCCAATGCATCAGGTAGTAACTTCTAAACTGTGCTCCTGATGAAATCCTGTTAATGCCAATAGTTTTGATGATAGAAATGCAAAGTATGATTCCTCCTGTAACAAGAAGCACGTTAGTTATGAGTGTGGTACCGTACAAGGGAAGTGGAAAGATATGGATGGATTGCGTAAAAGGTGACATGATCAACAAGGGAGTGATGACAGAGATGACGGATGATAGAGTTATTTGGAGGACGAAAACCCTACAGGAGTAGGATAAGGAGATGATGATGATGAATCTTCTTAATTCTGTTTGTATGTTTAGATTCCGCGCTATATTATAACGCTGCACGAGCTACTGGCGCACACACCGCACGACCACGTGGAGCGGCGCAGCTTGCAGCACGCGCGGGCTCAGCTGGAAGAGCTATCGCGACAGATGCACGATGAGGTGACGTAATGATTTACGTGTAATTCATAGTTATAATTGACTAAATCTTGTTCCTTGTTGTACAATTAAGTATTAGAACACAACTCCAAAGACCGGATATTTTAATGGATGGTGTCCTGTTAATCTTTATTTCATTGAGAACAATGTACTTTTGTAAATGGTTCTTAGGTCAGCGAAACGGAGAACTTGCGGAAGAATCTCGCAGTAGAGCGCATGATTATTGAGGGCTGTGACATCCTGCTCGATGTCAACCAGGTCTTCATACGCCAAGGTAAGAGCATCTAAAAATACATTTCATTTACTACCGTGAATGTAGTTATACAAATTATTCACATGTTTTGTATATTTCTTATGTCTAAAAATGTGATGTATTCTTAGGCACATTATCCCAAGTGGTGGGCAAGGGCCGTCGTGCGTCTTTGCAAGCTCGACAAGCGTTCTTGTTCAGCAACCATCTCCTGCTGACGACGCGGGCCACTGGCGGCCGACTGCACCTGCCGCCCAATGGACGTCTACCACTGCACGATGCTCTCTTAGTCGAGGATCCCTCTAGTCATGATGATGATGGTACTAAATCTTAAAGTTTTTATATGTTTTTGAAGTTAGGCAGTTTTAAGCAGGATTTTTTGCTTTTAGATTCAACATCAGTGTGCTCATCTCCGGGCGGCGATCCTTACCAGGGTAAAGACTTCAAAATACTGGTCGAAGTTAAGGGCGAGCAGATCTGCGCTCATTTGGGTACGTCAGTTTAATCCTTGGCAGATTACTAGACAAACTTTCTACATGAGAACAGCCGAATTATTACAGAAAGGATCAAATTCTTGTCTACGACTGGATTTTAATGAGATAATAAGCCAGTTTGATTGAAGTGAACTAAAAACCCGCTATATTTGTAACTAAGCTCTTATAAGAATTAAGAAGGAATAGTCCTAGTTGCTGTAAGACGAATCTTGAGCCTAATTAAGAAACTGGGTGATCCCCAACTTTTTAAATTAAACATGTAATTGGAGAAGATGTTCATATAGACGGTTAAGAAGGTTATATCGTGTGTGTGCAGTGGCAGCGACCCTGGAGGAGAAGGCGGCCTGGACGAGTGAAGTGGCGCAATGCATGGAGAGTGCGGCACTGACGGAATTGCTGCGCGCCTGCGGCTCTTGCGCGGCCTCCGCCAGCCTGCCCGCCTGCCGCTCCGACCGCGCTCTCTTCACTGACGACGTCGACATACGCTTCAGTAGGACCCTCAACTCCTGCAAAGTGCCGCAGATCAGATCCGCCACACCCCAACGACTGCTGCAACGGCTTACAGGTAAGTTAACCTTTGACTTCAAACCTTAAATGCTTGAATTTTTAAACCAAATTTTTGCTGTGTAGACTTATGGGCAAAAATAGTGAAGAAATCAATTCGATATTTTCATATTGAGAAACTCATTCCTTCATAGCAACATTTTTGTGATAGGCTCCTTTTTTCAAATAACAGTAACATGTTAACAGCCTAATCAAACTTCGTACTAATATTACAAATTCGAAAGTTTAGATGGATGGATGTTTGTTAGAGTTTGTAGCTTAATCGGCTCAACGGATAACCCTGAAATTTGGTATAATTGTAGAGGATACAAAGGACACATAGGCTACACACATTTACTTTTTTTAATTCCACCCGGACAAGTCGCAGGCGAAACCTAGTGTTAAAATAAAATCGTACATTCCCAATGCGATATAACCCCGGTATCTGAAACTTCAAATATTTTAGGGTTAAATTTTCTGTCACTGTTAACAAGGCACTAATTTTGGATTCCCTTCTATCGTAGACCTACGCTTCCTCTCAGTGGACTTCTTGAACACGTTCTTGCTGACATACCGCGTGTTTACTGACGGGGTGACAGTCCTTGAGGCGCTCAAGCAGGTGTTCTACGAACAATCGCAGCAGGAGATGGAATTAGCGCCCCCACCTGACACCGCCAGGAAGACCAGTGGGGCTAGCTCTGTATCAGGTATACCGACACTCTTTTTTATATTTAGAATAGCATAAGAGCAAGTGGCCGAGGCCAAAGCAATTTCGTGAACAAGAAGTGACCGATGCGTTTGATTTGCAGGTTATGGATCGGAATACAGCGACCGCGACTGGCAATCGAGGTTCTGGAAGGCTTCGAGGAAGAGTAATATTATTTTATAATTCTCTAAAGAGCTTATTAGTTTCGAAATCTACTGCCTTGATCGTACTATAGTCAAAAGTCTATTACAGAACAAATGTTAAAATTGTTGCAGGTGAAGACGAAGATAAACTGTCGCCGTATTTAATGGCACCTTCCAGGCGTACGTCAAATGTTAGTAAGGTAAGAAATGCCTCAAATTTTTAAATCAATTTATCTTTATGTGACGGCGATGCTGAAAAAATCTTGGAACAAAGATCATCATAAAGCCTTAAAACCCTAAAAACAATTGATTTTAGAAGCAAAGAACTAGTACCTTGTGCTTGTTTTTTGATTACATGTAATTTGAACGTAGATTTTATTACTTTTTTTACAAGTATCTCAGAAGATTGTATGTTTTGTCTCATGCTATCTTATGAAGGTGGAAGAAGACAACAGTCATTTGACTATACCCAAGATAATGGCTACGTCATCGAGCAATGAAACTCTTAAAGGTATGCGTAAGGTTACAAGATTAACCCCATTATAACGCGTTTATTTGTTTCGAGTTATAGGAATCCAAAAGTGTGTGAAGTCAACCAACCCACACTTGGCCAGCGTGGTTGATTATGGCCTAGTCACCTCTTATAAGGGTAGGCTCCGAGCCCCTCGGTGGAGACGTATAGTGAGCTGGTGATGATGATGATGGGAATCTCCCATTTAACATTTTTTTTCAATAAGGTCGACCCATAAATAGCGTTAGAGAGGAGTTTCGTGTTTAAAAATTGTTAGATATATTTGGATCTTAGGATTTAATGTCTGCGTTTTAACGTATAGAGGTAAAGGTGTATGGAATTCACTTTGTAGGGCTTTACTGTAACACTATTTAACAAAGTCAGGTTTATTAAATGAAAAACGTATTTTCAAAAGTTGATTTCAGAGTAATCAAGCGCCAGATTTGTTATCTCCTACTTTGGGTTCGAATTCGTCATGTTTAGTACATGACGAATTCGAACATATTTTACGTCTTTTATATGTACATTTACCTGATATTACGATGAAGGTAAACATCGTGACTGCACTGCGTGAGTACCGTTCGAATCACCCTTAACTTTGTGTAGACTTGAACCTTATAAATGGGGATGGTGATGATGATGAAACTCTCTTAACTAAATCCTTATAATCATTACAAAGGTACTTCACCATCATCACCTGGTGCGCTGAGTTCAGTCACATTAGTGGGTAGTCCGAAGAAGAGTCCAGAAGAAGGGAAAGCAGAGAAGACTTCTCCTACCAAAGATAATGATAAAGCAGCCGCGATTATGAAGGATGAGAGCATAGAGTTAGTTGATCAGAGTGACGAAGATATAAAATATAAAGAAGAAGAACAGGAGAAAGACAAACAGAAGCCGAAAGATGAGAAATTCAAAATATCGCAAAGATTCTCTGAGGTAGGTCTTATAGAAAAAATCATTTTATTAAGAAAATACTTAGAACTAAAACATAATAAAATGTACAAAAAACAAATACTCCAAGATAACAGAACACTTCTAGAATATTAAAACAGTATCTCTCTCCCTTTCTAGCAGGGAATGAGTGCGATAGCATGTCAGTTTCCAGTGACTAATTATGTACGACTATTGTCACTTACCCTGTATATCCTTTCCCTAGGACCTTTGGAGGGAAAACCATATAAATACCCGAATATTTCGGATACATCGGATTTGTCGAGAAAAAGTCTTGTAATTCTGAAAATGTATTACAAAGTTCATAGTTACGATTCTTATCCTTTCCTTGTACAAAAAGGGTGAAATAGGGAAAAAGAGATTTGGTTACGTCAACTTGCCCTTATCCCTACGGAGGGTCACCACAGTGCTGCACTTCCATACATTTCTATCAGCCGTCATATCTGAATCCACTCCCTTACGCATATCCTTTTTCACACAATCTGTCCATTCTTCGACTTCCTCTACCTTTGTAGCCATTACAATCAAAAAAGAGATCTTGGTAACATCTTAAAAAATGTAAATTGTGTGTGTGATTAGCGCGTACGTACCATGACGGAGAGTCCGCGGCGGCTGTACGTACGCAGCGGGGCAGGGGCCGGGGCCGGTGCCAGTGGATCGGCGCCGGGGGGCGTTGTCGGAGGCGAAGCTCGCAGGCGGTCCGACGGCGCGCGCGAGCTTCCCGCCCCCGCTACGCCGGAGCCCCGCCGCGCCTCAGACTCCAACGCCGCTAGACTCCCGCGACGCTCAGTCAGGTTAGATATCTCACCTCATATATTCGACCCCAAATACTCATTTTAAAATTAATACTAGCTTTCGCCAGTGACTCCGTCCGCGTGGAATTATAAAGAATGAAAAGATCCGTTCAGCAGTTTAGGTTACAAACTCTAACTTCCATCCCCCATCTATCTAAACTTTCGCATTTATACTAGCTATTTCTCGCGACTTCGTCGATGTTGAATTCAAGAAAATAAAACCGCTTATGTTACTCAGTGATTACGGACCTATGGACAAAAAATAAAAAGTAAATTACAAATCGTTAGAACCTCCAAAAGATTGACATATACTTATATTTGTCTATCTTACTTGTTTAGTGAGAGACGATGCACCAGTTCGTCAATAAACAGCGACCGCCGACGCTACTTCGGAAGCTCGGAGCCGCGGTCTTCTGTTACGTCACAAGTCTCCCAAATGGCTCAGGTAATTTAAATATAGCTGTTACTGATGTAGATTTAAGTTTATTAGGTAATGTTCTAGATATATTCTTTGGCTTTAAATATTTAGAAGCTAGTACGTTAATATTGATTAAAAATTTAGTAGAAAATTCATTAGTCTATTGATTGTTAGCGCGAACTAAAGTTTGGGGTCCAAATCGTAGCAACAGGGTTTCACTGAAAACATTCAAAAGTAAAAGGGAAACGAAAAAAAGTGTTGGAATAACTGCTTTATACTTTTTGATTGCCAAATAGGGTCACTAAAAAAATAAAAAAATATTTAAGATGTCGAATTAATTTCACGCAAAACAATCTTAAGTTTAAAAACTATAATTATTCACTGTTTTAAGCCAAATTATTTTTCTTAAAGAGCTACCGACGCGACACCAACCAACCTAAAGCCGGCGTTGTCATCACTTCTTTCCGACAGTCGCATAGAAGGTAAAATATCTGAACGAATTTCTAACTTGATCTAATTCAACAATTCTCTCTAATATACTAATTATTTCATGTTTTTACACGTTCATATTCTGATATAAAAAGCGATATCTCAAATGAATTTCGATGTTGTGGCATGATTCTTATAATCGGATTTTAATAATTGGAATTAACCTCATTTGCTTTTGCACGAAGTTTCTACTGATATCAATATCGATAGGATATTAAAGCGATCTAATATCTATTACTTTTTAAACAGATATTGGGTGAATTGTATTATAATATAAATAAAATTGATTCAACAGTTTTGGGAAAGACCTGTTGTGGTGAGTGAGCGGCGAGGTAAACAATGTAGACCTTGTAGACGATAGTAGACGAGTATTTGAAAAAATTTGCTTAACCTAGATAAATAAACCCTGATTTATAAAATTTTTGTCAACCCTATATCAAAGTATGTCTGTCCTCTTTATTATAGGTAACGCATCTGCAAATACGGATGTCTGTGCAGCGATCATAGCACTAACTTAGCGAATTCCTGTACAAAATATAAAAAAGCAACGATTAATAAAATTAAAAGCACTAAAATTCTTTACTTAAATCTAAGTTTTTTTTGTGTGTAAACCAAAAGACTGGAATAACCTACAAGCGACAGTTTTTTCGTCAAACAACAATGTACTTAAAGTGTGTACTTAGAGCCAATGTACTTAGGGCATAAAACACAGTTTTTAACTAGCGCACACGATCTTTCGTGATCGTGGTCAAGACGTAGATTATCGTAAAAATCTGAACTACATACGAAATAGTTCTGAGTTATTCTAATTACATTTAAAAACGTCTAAATTTATTGTTGACGTGCAACCAGGGCCGGATTTAACATTACCGACGCCCTGGGCGGTAGCATTGCTACGCCCTAACCTAACATTTGCTCTCCGTGAAGTTGGTGAAATATTTTAGATTTGTTGTCGCGAAATCGTTCGTTAGTTGGAAAATGGCAAAATTTTAGCTCGCAAAATGCTTTAACTAAATTAGATATTTTAGACGCAGTTTTTAATAAGTAGATTGCACCGGATTTCGTTAGTTTTGAAGATATTTTAATATTAGGATATGCATTTATAGTTTTATGAACTTTTAAGACGCGTTTTTAATGATAATAAAATGTGCTTTTGATATTTTAAAATATTTTGTAACATTGAAACCATTTTTTATTCCATTTTGCATGATTCCGTTTTCTATTCATTTTATTCTCTAACTACTCTTTTCTTATATCTCTTTTACCCACTCAGAGTCATATAATACTTATTTAAAGTGTCTTAGTATAGATTTTGCACACAAAATCTAAACTAAGCATATGTAGTCATTAACATCTCTGAGCACTGACTTTTTACATCTCTAAATGTTTCCTTTCTGCATGTTTTTCTTCTCGTATTTTTACTAAACATCAAAAACTTTTTCTATTCGTACATTTCACATTATCATACTCCAACAATTAACTAAGAAATTCGAAAGTATGTTACGTGAATCTGAAACTATGAACATAGGCGTCGCCAGCCTATGACCTAGTTTAAGTTTAAAGCAACTACCAATTATATGGTCTTACAAAGTATTATCTTATTTCTGGTGGCTGCCTATGAATTTCCTTCGTGCCAATCTTGATGGATCTGGTTTGTGTAGGAGCAGTACATCGACAGCGGCGGTGGCTTTCGCTGTCGCAACTTCTGCGTCGTCCAACCCTCGCTCACCGCCGCCGACCTCTCCGCCGCACAACAGACGAGACTCTGTTATATCCACTGCTGCGACTATGAGAGTTCTTAATGTGTTGAGGTCAGTAACTTCGTTGAATTTTCTCCCTTAATATTTCTTACTTTGAAAAATACGCGGGTACATATCTTTGAATAAACTATCGTCCAATTGTTGTGCGATTGTCGATTGTTTCGCAGCAAATTCCACTGTCGCACATCTAAAAATCGATTAGTATGCGCACCTCCATATAAGCTTATAGGAATCAAAGCGAGACTAAACAGTTGTGCAATGGTTAAGTCAAAGGCGTGCGCGCGCTCTAATTAAAGTCTTATTCGAATCGTTGAAATTGAAAGTTGTCTGGTTTCCTTAGAGATAAAGACAAACCCCACAGAGTATACTATGGTACGAAATAAAATTTAAGATTGTCAAATTAAAGGAGAGATGTAGCAAAAGATTTACTTACACGAATAACTTTTTCCAGTCAAGACATTCATCACCAATCTCTATCTGCATATTTTTTTCTATTAACGAAATGTGATCGAATTTAAAACCGTAATTATCGTTTTCCAGACATTGGATATCGAAGCACTCCTCGGACTTCTGGTCTGATGAGCGTCTGCGAGGGCTAACCATGGATTTCCTGAAGGAGATCGAAGCGAGCCCGGGTCTGCTGCCAGCTGAGCACAAAGCGGCCGCCCAACTGTTGCGGTTACTGGAGCGTGCTCCAGACAGGGCGATTGACTTGAAAGCTATATTCTTACCCCCACCGGTATGAAACCCACACATTTACTTAATACTTCTTTAAAGTGACATCTTTGTTTATGTTAAATAATTTAAAGTAACTGCTGTTTATATCTGTCTCAGATTCCAACAAAAGAAAGCATCGAAACCCTATCAGCGTTGGAGATCGCGGAGCAAATGACTTATTTGGATTACCAAATATTCAGTTCTATTCATAGCGAGTAAGTTTTAAGTTTCAACTAATTCTTTACATATTTACTGTTAGTTACTGCTTGCGATTTATTTCCCAAAATACAGGAACATTTATCTTATAGATGACCTCCTTATCGTATTTTGTCTATCAAGAAATGAATGCTTATGGACGTCTTCTTCTTGACCACAATGTGCAGACTTAAGCCCTGGTCCAATGCACAAACCTGTAACGGGTCCTTTTCCAGGGAGTTCCTGGGCCAAGCTTGGACGAAGGCGGACAAGGCTGAGCGCGCTCCTCACATCCTGATGATGACGAGCCATTTCAATCACCTCTCCAATCTCGTCATCTCTGAGATATTGAAGAAATTTACTTTGACAGGTAAATAAGATTTCGAAAGACGACTCCAAAAGACTTTATATTGGAAATATATTGAGGCAGTATCGATTCTAGCTCTACTTTTTACGTGATTTATTTGACGCTTTTCTTTTTTATCATGAGTTAGCGGTATCAGTGTTGTCTATACCCAAGTATAAATTACAAATCTTTCCTGTTAATAATGTTAATATGTACAGGAAAGATTTGACGGTGGATGAAAGGGGAAATATTCTTTCTCGATTAAGGGTAGACGCAACGCACCGGTTTCTTGTGCCCGCTTGCCCTTTGGCCACCTTATTTTATTTAAAAAAAAACAAACTATACAGATTTAGCATTCTAAGATTATTATCTCGGTTTTCACAGACATTGTACAGGAGTTTTTTTTTAATTTCAAATCAACATCTACAGACTCTTGGTCCGTCTTTTTTGCAAATTTTATGTCTTTTTTTTATTGTACAGGAGTTACAAACGTGAGATCGTTGCAGGTCGTGTGACAGCGATAGAGAAGTGGGCGGCGGTGGCGGACATCGCGCGTTGTCTGCACAACTTCAACGGCGTGCTGCAAGTCTGCGCCGCGCTTTCCAACACCTCCATCTACCGTCTCAAGAAGACATGGGAGAAGGTCTCCAAGACGGTAAGATAACAATGAGGCTACGAGATTTCATCGGCCCTTTTTACCATACTTGGAGAAGGGATTCATACTTATCTATTATGTCTATACTAATTTATATTAGTAGAGCAAAGAGAGAGTACAAAACTTTCCTATTTATAAAGGAAAGCGTTGGATTTTTGGATTTTTGTGTATTTTGAAGTAATTCAAAAAATACAGGGGCGATGTCAGTGACTAACATAGGCTGTTTTTAGTTTCATTTTTTAATTCCACGCGGACGAATTCGCGAGCAACGACTTGTCTATAATCTATATATATACTAATATTATAACGACAAAAGATTTGTATTTTTGTATGTATTAAAATCACTTAAAAACTATTGGATCGATTTTAAAAACTCTCACCATTAAAAAGCTACGTTATCAATAAGTAACATAGGCTACTATTTTATATTATTTTTAAATGTCTCGCCGATTTTAGCAACAATTATAATTACGTAATGACTGACTTTGACGCCCCTTACTGTTCAACGCCCTTAGCGCTCGCCCAATCGCTAACGCCGGCCCTGTCACAGAAACAACTGAATCGTATTATCTACAAGAATTAAGAGTTTATGAATATATTCTTATTTCCAGAGCAAACAAACAATAGAGAAAATGCAAACTATTATATCATCAGAGTGTAGATTCAGGATTCTCAGAGATGCTCTGCACAGGTTAGCTACACTTTACTTTATCTATACTCTATACTATTAGAATGAAGCGTAAACACACACTTCTTTGTTGCCTAAGATGTCAGCAATCAAAGCATATATTTGAATAATTCTATCTTTAATAAATACCCCTTCACTTAGGACACGCTTTAGGCTATATATTTTCACGCTATTAGACTTAGGGGGTAAATAGATTGCATAAAAACCTAATGTGTAATAGGGACCATAAGCCACAAGCTGCCAACATCATGGAAGTAAGATTGCAATGCTTTGTCATCATGTCATGTCATTTTTTGACAATTTGACATATGTAAACAATAAAAAAAATGTAATAATTTCATGGGAGTGAAGCCGCACGGGAACAGCTAGTATTTTTTTAAGATTTTAGCATTTATATGTATATTTTATTTCAGATGTGACCCGCCCTGTATTCCTTATCTGGGCATGTACCTCTCTGATTTGTCATTTATTGAGGAAGGCACTTCCAATTACACACCTGATAATCTACTTAATTTCTCTAAAATGAGAATGGTAAGAATAAAATTACGTTTTATCTGTATATACATATAATAAAATTGGAGTATCTGTTTGTAATATCAAAAGAAAAATTACAGATTTCGGGAAATTCATGTATTTGGGTTGCTGATAACGAAAATCGCATTTTAAAATTATTTGTCTGTCTGTTTGTCCGCAAGCCGCGTTTGTTTCGGGTAATCTCCGAAACGACTGGGCCGATTTTGATCGGACTTTCACTGAAATGTAGCTGACATATATAAGCATTTTAAAGGCTACTTTTTTTTTAAATTCCGCGCTGTCAAATTTGCGTAACAGGTGGTCTAAATATGCGCTAACAAAGTTTGAGGACGACAGCTCGTATTTAAATAAATATGCAAGTGTAAGTGATGTAACTATGTGGAATGTTTACAGATAGCCCATGTGATTCGTGAAATAAGAAACTTCCAGCAGACTCCGTACAAGATAGATCACATTCCTAAGGTAATATTTTACAGTAGTAAGATGGAAACTTGATAATACTTGAGAATACTTAATTTTCTAACGAAACATCGATATTTAGTAAAGATTGCCTCAAAGGAGGAGGTTTCTTCTTTTATTTTAAAAACTTATAGAGTTGACGTTGACATAAATGAATGTGACGTCACCACAGATTATACTATCTGTTCGTCGTCATATGTTTTGTAAAAAAAAATAATTACAAAATTAAGAACCAATATTTTAGATTTTTAAAAGTTTTTTTTTTAAATTAAATCAATATTACAATCAAACTATATATACATAGTTTTGTAAGATATTATTTTAACTTTTTTTCCTAATTGTAATCTTATCTTACTACTATAATTGCGAAAGTTTATATGGATGTTTGCTAGAGTTTGTAGCCTAAACTGCTGAACGGATCGAGGGTATTTGTCATAGATGTAGAGGATAGTCTGGAAGAACAAAGTTTTATTTTGAGAAAGTAATAAATAAATAAATCCAGGTGTGTGACTTCCTGCTGGACCGGTCTCTGATCATTCCGGAAGAGCGCCAGTACACACTATCTCTGGAGCTGGAGCCGCGTGCGGCGCGCGGCTCCGCGGGCGGGCTGGCCGGCGCGCCAACGGAGCCTGCCTCGCCCGCCGCGCAGCGCCGCCGCCGCGCCTCCCTCGCCGCGCTCGCGCCGCTGCGCGCGGAGCGGTAAACGCCTTACATCGATAGGTGAAATCCTATTTGTTTTAAACGCCATTAGGTAATGTGCAGGAGACCCACTTAAAGTTTTCATTTTTAGAAAAAAAAAACATAAAAGCAAATCCCGAAAATAATTTCAATTGAAATATTTTCAGACCGGTTCTAGATTCATTCAATTCACTGACTATTAATAACCGCTGATTTTTTGGCGCTTCATACATGGCTACTTAAAAACAACACCTACATTTTAATTGTTTCTGATCTTTATAAAACCCGTTAAAACGACGCATAAAAATTCGCTAATTCTGAATATACATATAAGCCAATATCGCCTAAAATGGCGGTTGAAACAAATAGACTTTCACCCGTCGATATATGTGCATAAACAGAGATGGGCAATTTAACTAAAATGAACTGCAAATCACAATTCGCACGAAGATCTGTGAATCGGCTCGCAGCTCTGTATCTTCACACATCAATGATTAGCATTTTGATCTGCAAGCTGCGAGTCACCATGTTACTTGCTATCCACTCCTCTTTACTCTAGAGAACCATAAAAATGTTAAAAAAAAGGTAAAAAAAAACTACTTCAACTAAGACCGTAAAATTGGTAGCTGTCTCCCTCAGGCCTAGCTTAGAACCTCGGCTGGCGACATCTGTCAAATCCTAATTCTGTTAATAATTTTAAAAAATATGTTAAAATTAAAAAACTTGTTTCAATAAATCTTTTAATATGTAAACAAAAAATAAATGACAAACTATTTTCAGAATATAAATATACCATCACGCTCTTAACCTATAAAGGTAGACATAAAACTATAAACTATTTAATTCAAATATAATGCAAATACCTAAAATTTATCAAGATATAGAAAATCTTATTTATTAAATATGAAGTAGTTATAATAATGAATATTTCTGTATTGTTATTTTCTATATAATTCATTATAATGCAATTGTCAATTATTTATTGACTTTTAACATATCAAATTGTCGTTAACAGAAAAAATAAAACAAAAATATTATTATCGCGCATTGCTCCATTCCTCGATCGCTTTCGACCCGTGCGAGCGAGACATCGCAGTTTTATATTTCTATCTCGCTCAATCTTCGACACCTTGAAGCAGTGCAGTGACAGATGGAGACGCGCGATAACCTTTTTCATTAATTTGTCCAAACAAATTTAAAATTATATGAAATTGGACTTCTCATAGTCAAATTACAACTAGTAATTTCAATCAGTCGGTAATATACGCTTTGTATTTTTAATCTCCTTTATAATTGTTATAAAAAAGATATATGAAAAACTTATTGTCAATGTTTGTAGTAAGTAGTTGTACTTGTTACTTGTTAAGTTATTATTACCCATTATATGTTAATAATAACAAGCATTATTACATCATAATTTGTGTATTACCTCTTGTGTAAATTTATAGTTTGTCTAAATAAGATAGATTAGTTTGATAAATGACACATATGAAGTATCGAATTCAATTTGTATAAGGGCAAAAGCCATAATTAATAGACAGTTATCAGTGACGAGACAAACGCAGATAGCGAACTATCGATATTCGGTTTAAATAATTATCGAACTCAACTAAAATTATTATTTTCTTATTAACTAATTTAGAGGACAATTCTAGTGTTGATTATAGTGTAGAGAATTTAGCGATGACGAATAATGGCGAAATCCAATTCGATTACGAACGGCTGTAATAGTAATAAACATTTATTTACTCTTATTCTTTGTAATGGTTTTGCATGTCATTATTAATTTGAGGAATCAATGTCTTTTTTAATTCAAAAGTTATAAATATGAATTTATCGATTCCAACTACTATAAGAATAAAAATTGAAAATCGATAAGATTCATGAGTGATTTTACATAACCCATCCCTACTATATTTCAAATGAATTGTCAAACTAATCTATCTTATTTAGACACACTATAATATGCTATGAAAGATTTTTCGTAATTTGTTTTATGTAAATAATTTTTTCGTAGTACTAAAAACTATTGTATTTTTTTAATTATGATGTCTTATTTTAAAGTGTTCTATATATCTATTAAATAAATATAATTTCTCTATTATAAATTTATCGATGCATGTCTGATGTAACCTAACGTGATTTCAAGTGAGAAATTTATCTGTAAGTCTTTTCTACTCCCTTTTCTATGTTATTTAATGTTAGTGTTAAAATGTAGCTGTTTAAAAAAAGCCTGACACGTTTTCTATAAAAGATAAGATTGTCTCTGGTCTGAACAAAGAGCTTATAACCTGTTGGCGCGTGAAACTTCCACCAGAGACAATTAAAAAGTATGGCAAATTCAGACATGGGTGATATTATGAACAATTGGTAATCAATATTGTTATAACTAACATTTAATCAAAAATAAATTATATTTTATATTCTGAAATAATATTAATACAAAAAACCGACAAGTAAATATTTATTTTGAATTCAAAAATCAAAATGTCACTCATGTCATGCTATAAGAAAACAATATACGCTCTTCTAAATCGAAACCTAAACATCGTAAACAAACCAACCAACTTGGCATGTTATATTATCTAATTTTCTATCCAAATTTAATGGTTAACGCCACAAAATCTTTGAAAAAAAAACGTAAATAGTGACTCTTTCTTAAAGTTTGAATTTGGAACAGCGTGTATTGAATTCAAGCGAAGTAATGGGTAACTCAAAACGTTGACCTTTAGATCAGCTCACGGTTCGCGTGAAGCAGATCATTGAACCGGCTCACAGATCAGTTCGATTTGTATTTCCATAGAGCTTTGATTCGGTAAAGTACATCGCTTGCGCCGTGATCTGTTAATTTAGTTGTTGAGCCGTAACTCAACGATTCAAAACTTCGTGAGCTGATTTCAATGAACCGGTTCAGATCTGATTTACACGTCTATCCAAGCGGTTGTGTCAGCTTATAAGATACAATAAAACATTCTTATGGTAAATTATATCTGTTATATTTGGTAAGTGGCAATGGTTGTTTCGAATAAAGATTATTAGAAAATCCAAAAAAAAATGTATTTCCAAAATATTTCCTAACCTATGCGATTATGCACAATTTTTTGATATCAACACTTTAAAAGGCTGTCTCTATTGTTAAAATATCTTTTTAATGTTAGTATTAAATGTAAGTCCTAAAATTTGTTGGTAAAACTGTCTTCCCTATACCCTCTTGTTTTAAATAGTGTCTATGTAAAAATTGATCAGGGCCACTTTAAAAGATCACATTTGACGCTTTGTCGCAATTTAAAAACGTAACATTGTAACGGGGGCTTAAAATATTATTTACTTGTTTAAAGTTAGAACTGCACATTGTTTAGCATTTTTCAAATATTATAATTATTTCAAGTGCACGTCGTTACAATGTTGCGTCAGTTAACATTTCAAACTTTACAAACTTTACAAATGTCGAATAAAAACATCGATTTCTTTAAACAACTGAATTCGATTCTCATATGTTTGAAGTTCGCATTGATTTAATCACACCAATCGATGTTTTCAAGCAGATCACCTCACTATGAAGCTAAAATTGAAATGTCAAATGTGGCCTATTATCTTTTCCCACAGATAATTATCTACCTAATAAGCTATGCCCTGATTTCTGTGATTTTTATTATGTCTTGATCTCAAAATTAATTAATTATAGATTATGCTGTATTAAATTTGATTTGCAATTTACTTTTTTAATCATTCAACGTTTTATCTTATTTATTACGTATATATACTTACGTATTGCTTACTACTATTATTACGTATGTATACTTACGTATTATCTTATTATTATTTATTCAATAATTAGTCTAATAGTCCGTTACGCAATTTTTTTTAGAAAGGGCATAGTTAAATTATTTTAATATAATGTAATCGCCACGAATATTTGTACATCTGAGATCAGCTGTCACTGTCAAAATTCATAGAGAGTGAGTGAGACAGGCTTACTCGAGTACGTGTAACGACGGAGAAAGAAGATCCTTTAGTTTCAACTTTGGCCACCATATTGAGTTTGTCGCGTTTTCTATTGCCAACTTCAGACCGTCAAATATTCGTAGCGTTCATTATAATTATGATATTTTATAATTAAAAAAAGATTACGCTTCGTTGTAAAACTCTTATGAATATTGAATAAGGTTTTTAGCACATAAACGTAATGGCATACGCTTGTCTTTTCAAACTACCTCTATGCTCATCTTTAGATATTGTACAGAGCTCAAAAAATATATTTCTCGTTGAACATTATATACCTTTACGAGGCTCAATACTGTTATGTATTTAAATTTTAGTGACAAACATAGTACAATTATTGACCTTAGTCCCTAAAATTGAAACTGTATTAATAACGCACAATTTGAAATGGAATGAAACTATTTGGACCTCTAAACTTGCCGTGATAGAGTCAGCAAAGCACATTTAAAAACGAAAATAATAATTAGTAACTGAAATAAAATGAAAATGGAGTTATTGAAAATAAAAGTTTAAATTTATTTGCTAACCGTACTTGGATACAGTTTTTTTTTTAATTTTGAGAAGGTTCCTTCCCGTTCAAATTGCGCGCGGTTTATGAAGTTCTAGATGCTTCGCAGAATAAAATTGAAATGTAAAGTTTATTTTTTCTAACATATCAATATGTTAAGCTGCAACTTTGATGTATTATTGATGTTACCATCCTTGCACTTGAGTCCAGTATTTACGTTTTTTTTTATTTATTGGTATTAATTAAATTACTTATTCATAGCACTGATTATTTAAATTAGAATGTTTTTTTAAACAGTTCTCTTTATTGATTTAGTTTTTTTATTTATTTTAAATACGTTTCTGGACTCAAATTGTAAACCTATCTACACATCCCGTTGTTGTTCCCTATTTAAATAAAGTTGTCATTGAATAACAATATTCCATTTGTTTTTTTTGTAACCTTTTTTTCACCTAACCTAAAATTACATTAACCTATTATGGTATGACATAATATTAAAAAACATCACTAATGTTCTGTCAGAGAAATGTTGAAAATAATGTTTTTAGCCAAATAGTGTCAAAAACATCGCAAAATATTCAAGTGTTACGTTAGTATAAAAGTAACTTGTACATTCAAATTGCGTGGACGCGTTTTGTTTGCTTTTGTTATCAGACACAGTGACGACTATCAGTCAATATTAACTTAATAACGGTAACCTGTCTGTCCTAAATATATCTAAATATTTTTACTAGCGATTGTTCGCGACTTCGTCTGTGTTAAAGTAGTAAAATAATAAGTAGTTTTTGAGTTATTTCAATACATACAAAATACATCCATAAATAATAGACATTTTAGTGTTGCATCATTTCTGACATTATTTAAAGGCCGCCATCTTTGAAAGTCGGGCATTCGCCAATTCGGTGATTGGCTCTTGTAGCATCAAGTCATGTTTACATTTTGAGGTTGCAACTTTAATAAGTGCAGTTATAAGCAATATTATTCTTTTTTCCTCCTAGTTATTATTGTAAAATTACTTTAAAACAGATAGTTTTTGTGTCCAATCAAATAATAAAGTTGTTCATCGCCAGTTCACTATACGTCCCCTCCGTGGGGCTCGGAGCCTACCCTAAAGTTAGGGTGACTAGTCAACCACGCTGGCCCAGTGCGGGTTGGTTAACTTCACACATATCTTTGAATTAATTCGCTGATAAGTGCAGGTTGCATCACGATGTTTTCCTTCACCGTAAGAACGTCGGGTAAATTATGTACATATAAAAATTCGAAAAATCGAAAATCACATTGGTACACGGCGGCGGGATTCGAACCCAAGACCTGTAGATTACAAGTCAAGTGCTTAAACCACTGAGCCAGCGACGCTCAATAAAGTTGTTCGCCATCTTGTACTTATTTTTTTTAAATACAATTCGTTTGTAGTTGTTAAAAATATATAATTTGAAGTAAATTAAATTCATTCTACATTTATTGACGGAAAAACCTTATTAACCACGTGAATATCACTTAAGAAATAAAACGACATTTAAAGAATATTTCTTTTTAAGAAAATTCTGGCGATCACACATCAATGTCTTCTTTCCTCGCTTCCTCAGCTTCCTTGAAGAGTGGGGCACTCCCACACATCCGCACATCCCTCGTATAAGGTATGACACCCACGCACAAACCTGATATCACCAGCCAGATGCCACCAGTGTAAAACGTCATGTCCCAACTGCCAGTTAAATCGTACAGCATTCCTGGAATGTCATACTAATATTGATGCGGATATTTGGATCAAATAATCGATAAAAGGCCTAGGTAGAAAGTAATTTGGAGAAACATAGGCTACTTGTTAGGTAGAATTTTTAGCGGAAAAAGTCGCTGGTAATCAAATAGGGACAAAATACTATCACTCCGTAAAGACTATCAATTTATAAAGGTCAGTATTATTTTAGTAAATTCTAGAATTACCTAGGTCTTAAATACTTTATCAAATAAACGTTTTTTAAAAATAGTTAGATAACATTTAACATCAAACAGATAAAACTTGTTACGTTAGACAATTTTGCAATATTGACATAAACAAAGAGAACATAAATGCTTGTCCTTGAATCATGTTTCTTTTATTAATAACTAGCTTTCGCCCGCGACTACGTCCGGAAATTTAAATAAAATTAGTAGGCTATGTGTTCTTCCAGACTATTCTCTACATCTATGTCAAATTAAATCGACATCCGTTCAGCAGTTTAGGCTATAGATTCTAACAAATATCCGTCTAAACTTTCGCATTTATAATAAAGACTAGCTTTCACCCGCGACTCCATGCGATAGATTAAAAAAACAAAATGGAATAGTCTGTGTGTTCTTCTAGACTATTCTCTAGGTCTATACCAAATTTCATCGAAATCCGTTCAGCCGTTGAAGCTACAAACTCTAACAAACAGCAATCCATCTAAACTTTCGCATTTATAATATTAATAAGAAGTAAGATAAGATGTGAGAATTAGATAATTGTAAATTAGTCGCCGTCAGAAATAAGGTCTCTCCTGTACTATTTACTAAGTAACCTTTACTAAAATGGATTACAACAAACTTACCACCAATCGGAGGCCCAACCAAATGTCCAATTCCCTGACTGAGGAGTATCAGGCCATATGCTACCGTGAAATGGTCAATTGGCATCAGTTCCATTAGAATAGCCGGAGTATAAGAATAGGAACTTGCGAAAGACAGACCGAAGACCGCAGAGATGATGGCCAGGGCCCAATAGTTGGTGATAAAAAGAGGATACAGACTGACGGAAAGACCGCAAATGATTAAGCATACGGCATACGTCTTGGTGACGTTTATCCAAGGCTGGTCTCCTGCCCAACCTAAAGCCACCTAAAAATAGTTACCATAGTAGTGTAGAATTGGACGTCAGATTAAGCAAGAATATTTTTTTATTAGTTGTCCACACAAAAAAAAAACATTAAGATGTCTACAAGCTTACGTGAACATGAAATAATTGCAACAATCAAGGTATTAAAGAAAGCGCCTATCGCCTAATGGTTAGGGGTACGGATTTCCAATCACGTGGTCGAGGATTCGAACCACGTCATTCGACTATTTCAAACCATAATCTAGCACAAGCCTAGAGCTTAGTTCAAGGTAAAAAAAAATACTACATAGACATAAAACTATTAATAAAAAAATTAAGCGGTGAGAAATAAAAAAATACTCACAATTCCAATGCTACTAGCAATACCAATAATACTAATCATTTCAGCACCTCCATCCATACTTCTAGAAGTCATGTAAGACTTGAGGAAGAAGTAAGGAACGATGAACCAGACGGAGAGGATGAGAGAAGATAGATTGAACATCAAGAAATGAAATTCAGTGAACATTCTAAAGTCGAATGTCGCTTTTGTTGTCGCCCATAATCTTTGATACCATTTCTGTAAACAATGGGAATGTTATTTTAAGTTTCTTCTATCATATAAAAAACATAATTTAAAACAAAAACACACAGAAGACAGGCATGAAATGGAAGCAATTCCGTGTTTCGTCTGATGAGTGTGGTGCCGGAGGCCTAATTTAAGTCCCTTTCTCTTTACAACCCTTTTCTTTTAAGGACAGGGTTGGGAAGAGGAAGTGGATTTGACGGTGGAGGAGATGCATAGGAAGGGGAAATATTATCTTTATGTGCGTCTCCTCCTCCGTCGTGTAAGGGTAGGCAACGCATCTGCAATTGCGGATGGCTGTGGGCAGCGGTCGCTTCGCCATTTTGGCGGTTTCAGGTGGCCGCTTGCTCGTTTGCCACCTTGTGTTATAAAAAGAAACATGTTTCTTTTCCCTCATTCTCTTTGAAATACCAGAGACAGCAATAACGTTTAATATAAGTGTTAACTACAACATTGTTTCATTTTATTCACTTCGATCGATTTAACGGAGATATCAAAAATTCTTTAGTTTCTACATACGAGTATAGATATTGAACAACAATTATATAAGCATAAATATAAGCCATTATCTTACTAATAAACTTTGATTTAGCACACAGTAAATACCAATCAATCATATCAAATAAATTTGATATCTAACAAATTAAACAATGTTTTTGATAGTAAATACGATTAAGACTAGCTGTTGCCCGCGACTACGTCCACGTAATAAAAGATAAAAAAAAGCATAATATGCCCGTCTATGTCAGCTACCCTTCAGTGAAAGTTTGGTCGAAATTGGCCCAGCTGTTACGGAGATTACCCGGTACAAACACGGACAGACTGACAGAGATACAAAAATTAAATGCCAAAAAGACACTCCAATTTTATTATTATACATGTATAGTATAGATAGATAGAATGTACAAACCATTCCGTCATCAGATTCTGTACCAAGAGACCACATTGAATTCCTGTAAATATCTGGCAAAGAGGATGCTCTTAGTTTATATCTAGGTATATTCATCATTGCTCCTCTATGCATTATGGTATTTCTATATAAAGGCATATCTCTTAGGTAATGGTGATCCATAGAAATCTGTCTTGACAGCCAATTTGTTTGTTGCACTGGCAGTTTAGGCTTTTTCTTTTCGATATTATCTATGTTCGTATTGGGTTTAGCTTCTTTGTTATTTTGATTCTTTTCCTTACGTTCTGTTCTCTCTTTGTTTGTTTCTGGTTCGTTTTTATTAGACATCTTAACGGTAACTGTTACCGGTAATTGTGCTGGTTCATTCTTATCATGTTCTGATCCTTCTATGTTAAGATTCTCTTCGGAACGCCTTCTTGTGATTAGATCTGGATAATTTTGTAATATTATGTTATACAGTCTTTTGTTAGTCATTAATTTTTCTATAACTTCTACTGGGACCTATAAAAACAAATGAAAGAATTAAAACAAATGAGTATTCGATTTTAAATTTTATACATTTAACAATAAGGTTGAAAATAAGTATAAAACCTTTTCATTTTGCGCTACAAAAGTTGGCAGATGTATATCTGAGTGTATCCTTTTATAGGCT